ATAATTCTTCAGGAGAATTTAAATCACATTTTAAAAACTTTAAATAGTTATATGGAAAACAATTGATTAGTAATTAACAAAAATAAAACTAAATTCCTCTGCTAAGCAAATAAGAATAAAATAATCAATCCACATCACCTAAAAATTGAAATAATTGATTATAACATAGAAAAAGTAAATGCTATTAAGTTTTTGGGAGTAACTTTTGATGACAATCTACGCTGGAATAAACATATATATGATGTTGCACTTTCCCTGGCAAAGTATACTGGGATAAATAAGAAAATTCAAGCTTTTTTAAGCACATCACTCTTGAAACGGCTGTACCACACTTGCATTGAATCTAAAATAAGATATGGTGTTGCTGTATGGGGAACCGCATCTCTATACGCAGTTAATAAACTTCAGATGGCACAAAATTGTTACATGCGTTCAATTTATAATTTAAACTTTATGGAATCAGTATCTGAACTCTACCGCACCAATAATATTGACTTGATTAGTGAAATTTACAAGAAACAGATTCTATTGGAGGGTTTCAAATATATAAAGGGCAAAAAGGAAAACAGCTTCCTCGGAATTGGTATAGGAGAATGTCGCAGATCAACATGAGATACTCGTATAATTCATGAATATAGTCTCCCAATTGTTAAACTAGAGGTGGGGAGATCTGCACCGATCTTTCAATTAATCTTCTATTGAAATAGTCTGTGCAACGATTTACGTAACATATCAAGTTATGAAATCTTCAAAAAGAATGTAAAAAGAGGAAAAAACTTTAAGCCACAGTGATATTTGTTCTCAATTAATTTTTGGACTTGAGGTAGAATGTAACTTTCTTTCTCAGCTCGCATTTTTTTTTTTTTTTTTTTTTAAGATGCTTGTAAAAGGCCAACCTGGCCACAGAAATAAATAAATAAAATAATTGAACATAATTAAAATTAAGTGTTGTTTATTTTAATTTTATATTAGGAATTGATATTAAACACTTCAGTTATTAACATTTGTTTTGATAACTAGTTCAGTCTGGTTATATTTCTGGGAAAGTAGACTTTTACCTTGTATAGAATCATGACCTCAGAGTTGATAAGTAAGTAGGAGATAGTGAGTCATAACAGGTAGATTGGATAATTAGTATGATTTCAGATATTGTTAGAATTGACTTCATATATAAATTTGCAGACATTGCATATATAAGTAAGTTATATTTATAGAATAATTACTACTATATTTTTATTATAATGTAAAATTAATGATTATTATAGTTTTATTTGTATTCAAATATATTTATATATAATATGTAGGCCTATTATTACTTCATAATTTTATAATGAAAAAATATTAAAAAATTATAAGAAGTATATTCATGAATATATGTTTTGTTCTATATGTATAATATTTTTAATCATTGTTATCTTTTTATAATATAATATTAAAAAAATATAAAATCTAGAATTTTACTAAGGTGGAGGTCGAAAGTACTTGTGGAATTTAATAGTGACATAACACTCGTAAAAAAAAAAGGTTTTTCGTGGATTGTAGAATTTTATTTTATAATAATGGTTAAAATTTAACTGAAAGTTTTTATTTCATAAATGTTAGGAGAATAGCATGTAACAGAAATTGAATTTATTATTTGTACTGTAATTTATTATTAGATATTGCTTTTTTTGCTTTTGTCATAGATTTATGCTTAATTTTGATTAATTATAATTTTCATTACTATGTAAAATGAGACATTTGTTATTTAAAAATAATTGTTGTATATTGAATTTGTTTTTATTAAAAATTATCTTGTGTTTTAATAATTTTAATCATAATAATCTTTTAAGATACTTATGATGATTACATTAAATTTGTTATAAATAATAANACAAATTATATTGAGAAACAGTTTATAAATATCATTTTTGAAGTAATTTATTTTTAATGAAATAATACAAAATTATTCTAAAAACAGAAAATGGACTTATTTTGCAGAAGTCACTAAAATGCATACTTTAGCATTTTTGGAAAATTTTAATTTTGTCTTTAGAAATAAAATTTTTAAAACTTTACATCAGGGGTGGCCAACACGAGGCCCGCGGGCCGTATGCGGCCCACCGGGTGTGATGTTGCGGCCTGTGGAGCTAGGTCAAATGAACGTAAATGTTAACTTTATTGTACATATCACCAAAAGAACATTACGTCATGAGTTTATTCGTATCATGTATTTTTAAATTATAGCTAAGAGAAATTTGAAATATCCTTCATTTTTGGAAAAATTCATAGATTTTTAGCTATTTCAAATATCCCGCTATTTGACACTCAAGGTTACTTAGTTTTTTGTTCGACACTAGGTGTTGACAAAATTTAATATGAGACTTCAACTTCAGCTATATATGTTCTGTGGTTTTCGGGAAGCTTGCAATGCTATCGGGCTCATACTCATAACTACTTTCAGTCCAGCTTAACAAAGTTCCGTGTTATTCTGTAGTTTTGTTTTATTATTGCCAATGCATCTGGAGAGATTTTGCGATCTATGTTAAAATACATATTTAACATATTTATAATTACAGTTCAAAACTACTTTAACCAAGTAGCCTGTCTACCATATCGATTCTATAAGTAAGTAAACCCTGAAACGTTGGAGAAATTCCATCAAGTTGGTTTGGAAGAGTTCTATGAAATGTATTTGGACAAGGATAGATATCCTGCATTTTACAAATATGCTCTGTCGATGGTTTCGCTATTTGGAAACACTTATGCATGTGAACAGCTTTTTAGTCGCATGAAGTACATCAAATCACAAGTGAGATCACAAATTACTGATGTTCATTTGGAAAACTGTTTGCTTGTAGCGACATCAGTGGAGATCAATTTTGATGCACTTAGTTCTGTAAAACAAAGTCAGATGTCTCACTTTTAAATATTTTTAAATTGTCTAATAAATATGTTTGATTCTCGGTTATGTTTTATTTTCTTCAAAAAAATAAATATACCTATTTTTTTGTTTTTTTACATTAAACCAAGCAAGTGTTTGACCACGATCTCACCTACTGGGAAGCGACGATGTGGTTGAAGCTGTAGCACGCTTGTTTGTTTACTTTAATTAACAAAAAAAAAAAAAAAATTAGGTGCGTGGCCCGGCAGGAAATATTATTTCTGAAATTTGGCCTGCCTTCTGAAAAGGTGCTGCTTTACATATTTCTGCTTTACATATTTCTTTCATTTATTTAGTAGAATATTTGAATATTTAGAATTAATTTGTTCTGTTATTTAAATATTTTGTGTAATTTATATATTTTGCAAATACATTTTTTTTATTTGTCTGGAATTGTACATAATATGAAAGATTGAAGATCTAAATTCTTATCTGGCTCAATTTTTCTTTTCACATGTTTCTAAAGATTGTTTGAAGTGGTTTATGATTTGCTTTATAGCAAACATTATTCTTTGCAATAATTTTAATTATAATTTGCAATTAAATTTTTCTTGATTTGTATTTTTATGAAAATAATTTTACAAAAATTTAAATAGATGTTCTTTAATAATAGAATCAGTTTCTATGGCGTCTTTTCTTCAAAACTAACAGAAATAATTATCACTTGCTGTTGAGTAAATAGTAAACAAGAGCTTATACAATGTCTATTCAAGGAAAATATGCATTTGTAGCAGTGATGAGCATTAATTATATTGATTTTTTTTCAAAGTTATATAATTCCTTAACTTGTGTGAGATTGAGTTTTATTTTTCAAAGGAATATTATGCTATAAAAATGAGTTTTGCTTCTGAGGAAATTATTAAGATTTTAAATATTTGCATTTCAAATCTAGCAAACATTTCTATTTTTACAAAAGTTTTTAATTAAATAGAAGACATTTTATGATCTAATTGTATAAACTGAAATTGTAAAAATGCATTTTTTATAAATATTTCCTTTTTTTCTTTTCATTCTCATAGTTTGAAAAGATTCCTAATTCCTAAAGTTTACTTATGATCTGCCTCTATTAAATCAGACTGTTCTGTTACAGCTGTATGTAAAGTTGCTTCTTTTAGTTTTAATTATAAGATTTTTATCGCTATTGCATTTCGGAATCAAAAATAAATTAATTAAAAATTAAAGGTCAAACATAAAGCTAAGCGTAACTGTTTGTGATTGATGAAAATATTCCTGAAGAATATTCTGTTAACATAAATGTTTGAATATTGCTTAAATATTCAACATTATATATTGCTATTTTTGATATCAAATGGGTAATATTACACAGATTATATATAAAACAAAATAAATATCAAATTCAATTAATTTGGAGAAAATTGAGAAATTTTGAAAATAATCAAAAAACTTAAACAAAAATACATTTTTGGTTCTAAAATATTTAAATTTAAGTGTTCTCCTGGCTTTAACTTCAAAAATAAAGTTAATTCCAATTTAGATTTCACTTTTTTTTTTTTTTTTTCAGTTTCAGTTTTGTACTATAATTCAAATTGTTATTTACATAATTTTGTTCCTGTTTTAAGGAAATCTTTAAAAAAAAACAATTTATCAGTCTAACTAGATGATGACAATTTGGAAAACTAATTTTAGAGATGTAAGAAATATGTAAGAACTTCCCAGTTAAATGATTTTTTTTACAAATTTTCAGTTGAACTGTAATATATAATTTGATAGTGTCAAATGATTACAATCTTGAAAATATCACAGGCTAATTTTAGAAAACTATTTTAAAACTTTACCTAATATAAAATTGGTTGGTTATTTAATACATTTTAGTTAAGCCATTTTTATAAATTGTAGAAATCAATTTCAAAGTTTTATTTTGTTATGCTAAAGAGAGATGTATTTTATTCAGTTATAATTTCAGAATTATTTGAAATAGTGGTAACAGAATTATTTTATTTATATAATTATTTCTTTACTTTATATCTTGTATGATATATTTGTTGTCTACATTATTTAATACAATATGCTCTTATTTACAATTTCTGTATTTTGTAATATATATGATTTTTTACAGTCTCACAGTGTAGATAAAAGGCATGCTGTAATATTTTATGATTCATCAGATAAAGAAGTTAGAATTAAAGATCTGAATAGTCTTACTGGTGTAAGTATTTTATTCATTTTCTGTTTATCTAGATATTATTGTAATTATTGCTAAAAAATTTTACACATATGTACAAGATGGCTAAATCTTCCTGAATGAGTTAAATCTAACTTGGGTAATTAATATTTGTTACATAAGTTTAATAAATCTTCCCAACTGAGTTAAACTTATCTATTGATTTAAAAAATCTGTTGATATTTTTTAAAAATTTAGATAACAAAAATTACTGTATTTAGAGACAAAACAGACAGATCTCAATTAATTTTTTAATATTATAATATGACTAAGATTTATACTATGGAAAGTTTTCTTTATTGATTATATGTTATTGTTTTTAGACTCATGTCAACAGTGTTCGCATTCCTGAACAATCATATGTAAAGTTAAAGCATCTGGATTGCATAAGATTTGGATATGATATCCTTTCTAATATTTAAAATTTTGCTTTGTTTTAGGTGTATGTGCATGCATATATGTTTAACATATATTATTAATAAAATTCAAGTATTACAGATACTTATAGCAATAAATTTGTTTTTCATTTAAAATTTTTATGATGAATCAATTATATAACAAAAAATTGATTATATTTTCATTCATAATTATTATTATCCAGTTATTATCTAAAACTATAACTTGTAATATAGAAAATTTCTGCAAAATATGAATTAATATGTAACAGTAACAATGTAGCAATCAGGTTTCATTGTATATAGCCTAATATAAACAGTCAAATCTGAACAATGTATCTGAACACTATAACAATGTATAATATTTATAATATACTAGCAGACCCTGCCACGCGTTGTTGTGGCTCAAAATGTATCTATTATACATGTATAACACTTTCCCCATGGGGAGGAATTTTTCGAAAAATCCCTTTTTAGTGTATACTCTGTTGACATACCCTATTAAAATGCAATCAAAAACGCAAAAAACCGCATCTAAAATAGTATAAATAGAAGCAGTGTTTTTCACGGTGAGTCTTAATCCTATCCATCTCCCCCCAGTGGGGGGAATTTCAACATGTATATTATATAAAGACACGTGCATATTTGAATGCAACATTGTCAAAATTTCAAAGGAATCGGTAGGAACAAACAAACGTTAAATTTTTATTTATATAGATAGATAGAAGATGATCTGCTTTACTTCATCCTCTCAGAAATACAAACTTAGGTCATCATACTCACAAAGTTAGTGCCATCTGTTGGACATAAAAGCCTTAATCCTAGATGATATCTTTTAATTTATACGAATGTTTAATGGAATAATACACAGCCTATGTCCACCTTGAAGTTCCATTCTAAATATTGGTGAAAGAATTTTTGAAATTGGATGAGTAGTTTCGGAGATTACCTCCTACATCCAAACTTACAAACTTTACCTCTTTATAATATTAGTATAGATAAATAAACAAACTTTACTTATTAAACTATTTTAGTTATACTTCACATGAACAGAAAAAGATGGAAAAGAAACCGAGCAATATTCAAGCATCNGAACTTACGCAATAGGTGGGACTGAGTGATAACCACATAAGTCGAATTCGCGTAAGTCGGAGTATAATTTCGCAATTTGTGTAAAATCCAAGTCGGATGTATGTAAGCTAATAAATGTTCTCGTTAATCTTATCTCATCTTTTGATTCGTTCACAATTGCAAGAAATCACCACATAGTCTCTCAAGTCTCTGTAGATATAACAAACACAGAAATAAATAACACAAAATAAATTGTAGCTATGTGTCGATTCTGCATGACACGTTTGAACATGTAAGCTGAACAATAGTGTGGGGGGAGTGAGTAATCAAGAGTTGCATGGCGCTCAAACAAAAGACGAATCGACAAGGTTTGAAAATTGTGTAACTCTGGGTTCGCGTAAGTCGAGGTATTACTGTATATTAATGTGAATGACCGATATCTGGCGAATGTCAGCATTCATACAGTCGTTTTGTGTATGTACGAAATATTTGCTGAATATCATTATTTCTCACTTACACCGCAAATGTTGACATTCAGCATGTACTGATGGTGAATGTTGAATAAAAATATTTTTATTATGTTAAGACAAAAATGCAACTTTTTAATATGTCAAAATAGGAGAAAGCTTGAGTAACAGCACATGTAAATAAACTGTTGAACCTAAAACAAACAGTATGTTCTAAATCATTAAAGAAAATATTACAATAATAAACTTAAACATAAATTATGTGATTAACATTATACAATCTTATTTATTGCAACAACTTAAACTGTTATGGCACTTTGAATTGCACAAGAGTCCCTTGCTTTTACAATTGCATTTATTCGTGGAACGCTTCTTTTTGCAATGACAGCATGTATAGCCTTTCCATCCACTTTTCAAATTAGCTGCAGCTGCTTCTCTCAGTGATATTTCTTGAGAAGAAATCTCATCTATGGAAAGTAAGTTTTCTTTACAAATTATGAACTGATTACGAGTATAAAGCTGCCTGAGGGTACCATTTTTGTTTGCTAATTTATAAAAGTCTGAGTCTTCTATTCCAACAATTGCCAACACATTTCAGGCATCTGTACAGCCACGATCAACATCAGGGACTTGTATTCGTACAGTATCACCAATTTGAACAGAAGGAAATGGCAAAGAATTTGGCGACAGACTGTCACCTCTGTTGACATTGGCTTCTTGGGTGTCGTTTTGACCTCCACCAAAACTTATCTGTGCTTGTCGATATACACCAGTTATTGTTCAAATGTATAATAATATAACCAAATATTCAGTCTTTCACCGACATATTTTGTATGTTTCAACATTCTCTAATTTCGGTCTTTCACAATAACATATACATTAAACATTGTTATAGTGATTTTTTTGTACATTGTGTATCTAAAAGATGATTTGGTTTTACTTTATACAGTATGTGTGACTGAATTTTATTACTCTAAGAACGGTTGTGTTTTCATTATATAAATAAATTTTTTTGGACCATACCTCAGGCTTC